TCTTCCTTCTTTAAATATGCTTGGAATGCTATATACTTTCCTCTTAAGACTGCTTTCGCTGCGTCCCACAGAAGTTGGGGCTTTGTGTTGTTGTTGTCATTTATTTCCATATATTGCTGGATCTCAATTTTAATTTGGTCGTTGATCCATTGACTATTTAGGAGTGTGTTGTTAAGCCTCCATGTTTGTGAGCCTTTTTGGTTTCTTTGTGCAATTTATTTCTAGTTTTATACCTTTGTGGTCTGAAACGTTGGTTGGTAGGATTTCAATATTTTGGAATTTACTGAGGCTCTTTGTGTGGTCTAGTATGTGGTCTATTCTGGAGAATGTTCCATGTGCACTTGAGAAGAATGTGTATCCTGTTGCTTTTGGGTGCAGATTTCTATAGATGTCTTTAGGTCCATCTTTTCTAGTGTGTTGTTCAGTGCCTCTGTGTCCTTACTTATTTTCTGTCTGGTGGATCTGTCCTTTGGAGTGAATGGTGTGTTGAAGTCTCTTAAAATGAATGCATTGCATTCTGTTTCCTCCTTTAGTTCTGTTAGTATTTATTTCACATATTCTGGTGCTCCTGTGTTACATACATATATATTTATAATGGTTATATTCTTTTGTTGGACTGAGCCCTTTATCATTATGTAATGTCCTTCTTTATCTCTTGTTACTTCCTTTCTTTTGAAGTCTATTTTGTCTGATACTAGTACTGCAACACCTGCTTTTTTCTCCCTGTTGTTTGCATGAAATATCTTTTTCCATCCGTTGACTTTTAGTCTGTGCATGTCTTTGGGTTTGAGGTGAGTCTCTTGTAAGCAGCATATAGATGGGTCTTGTTTTTTTATCCATTCAGTGATTCTGTGTCTTTTGATTGGTGCATTCAGTTCATTTACATTTAGGGTGATTATCGATAGGTATGTACTTATTGCCATTTCAGGCTTTAAATTCGTGGTTACCAAAGGTTCCAGGTTACTTTCCTTACTATCTAAGAGTCTAACTTAACTCAGTTAGTATGCTGTTACAAACACAATCTAAAGGTTCTTTTCTATTTCTCCTCCTTTTTCTTCCTACTATGTTCTTTATATATTAGGTATCAAATTCTGTACTTTTTGTCTATTCCTTGATTGACTTTGGGGATAGTCAATTTAATTTTGCAGTTGCCTTGCAATCAGCTGCTCCACCCTCCCTACCGTGGTTTTACTGCATCTGGTGACAGCTATCCAACCCTAGGAACACTTCCATCTATAGCAGTCCCTCCAAAATAGACTGCAGAGATGGTTTGTGGGAGGTAAAGTCTCTCAGCTTTTGCTTATCTGGAAATTGTTTAATCCCTCCTTCAAATTTAAATGATAATCTTGCCAGATAAAGTAATCTTGGTTCCAGGCCCTTCTGCTTCATGGCATTAAATACATCATGCCATTCCCTTCTGGCCTGTATGTTTTCTGCTGAGAATTCTGATGTTAGCCTGATGGGCTTTCCTTTGTATGTCATCTTTTTTCTGCCTCTGGCTGCTTTTAACAGTCTGTCCTCATCCTTGATCTTTCCCATTTTAATTACTATGTGTCTTGGTGTTGTCTTCTTTGGGTCCCTTGTATTGAGAGATCTGTGGATATCCATGGCCTGAGAGACTATATCCCTCCCCAGACTGGGGAAGTTTTCATCAACTACCTCCTCAAAGACACTTTCTATCCCTTTCTGTCTCTCTTTTTCTTCTGGTATCCCTATAATGTGAATATTGTTGTGCTTGGATTGGTCATACAGTTCTGTGAATATTCTTTCATTTTTAGGGATCCTTTTTTCTCTCTGTGCCTCAGCTTCTTTTTATTCCTTTTCTCTAGTTTCTATTTCATTTATTGTCTCCTCCACCGTATCCAACCTGCTTTTAATTCCCTTCATTGTGCTCTTCAACGATTGGATCTCCGACCTGAATTAATTCCTGAGTTCTTGGATGTCTTTCCGTTCCTCCATTAGAATGTTGATGATTTTTATTTTGAACTCCCTTTCAGGAAGAGTCACAAGGTCCATATCGTTTAAATCTTTCTTGGGACTTGTATTAATTATTTTACTCTGGACAAGGTTCCTTTTGCGATTAATGTTTGTATATGGCGCCCTCTAGTGTCCAGAAGCTCTATTCTGGAGCTGCTCAGCCCCGGAAGCAATGTTGGGGGTCGCAGGGGAGTGGTACCGGTTCCTGGGGGGAGGAAAGAGCTGTTCTCCGCCTCCCGGCTGCTGTGCCTGTCTCCACTGCCTGAGCTAGTGGGCCCGTCACACAGGTATAAGTTTTTGTCCCAGAACAGCCAGATACGGATCCCTGCTTTCCACAAGCAGCCGGAATCCCAGTCTCCCCAGGAACTCTGCCTGTATTAACTTTCCAACCCAGTAGTCATGCGAGTCTCATGAAAGCACCATGAAATGTAGGTTTGTGCTCCCAGAGCAGATCTCCTGAGCTAGGTATTCAGCAGCCCCAACCCTTCTACTCCCTCCCTGCTCCGTTTCTCTTCCTCCTGCCCGTGAGCTGGGGTGGGGGAAGGGCTCTGGTCCCACGGAGCCACAGCTCTGGTATGTTACCCTGTTCAGTGAGGTCTGCTCTTTTCTCCATGTATATGCAGTCTGACGCCATCCTCTTTCCTGTTGCTCTCTCAGGATTAGTTGCACCAATTAAATTTTCTAATTGTATCCAGTTTTAGTAGGAAGCCTTTGTCTCTCCTCTCACACCGCCATCTTTTATCCGTATCTCAGTGGGGAAGATTTTTAAGGCATGAAAGCAAATGTAGAGCTCAACAAGGAAAAATACACATTTAATACTCAACAATTACATGTGTATAAAAACAAAAAGAAATCTAAGGCAGATGACTGTGTGGAAAATATTTGTAAAAAATTTAAAGGAGAGATTAATATCCTTTATTAGAGATTATCTAATCAACAAGAAAAAAAAACATTCTCGGTAGAAAAATGGCATAAACAAAGAATGTGACTATATAAAGAAAAAACACAAATGGCCAACAAAATAATTACCAGCTTTGATGACGATTTTGGGAAAACAAGTACACTAATTATAATCGAAGTGTAAATTGGTATATTCTTTCTAGAGGATTTTATTGTATGTAGCAAAAGCCTTAAAAATAATTTACTTTTAAAAGTATTCTGAGGCAGTAGTAAGAAAGCAAGGATGGTTATAGATGGAATGAGTTCAGTTGATTAGCGCTTGTGTCTGAGATTTTTGCAATCAGAGAAAAGCGGAAGGTTATCTTGGAGTAAGATGTAAACATTGCTATAAGTTCTGTAGGTAATCAACCAGTTTCTTAAAAACAGCCAGCACCAATATCTTGCTTTGTAGTCAACATAAGTATATAAGAGACTGTTTAGTTTCATGGCTTTGTCCAGTAACATTAAATAGATCAGAAGTTGAAGTGGAGAAAATTATTCAAGTGAATGCAAAGGGAAACTTGTGGAAGATTGGATCCGGGAGGCTGTTGACTCTTTCTAGAGCATAGCCGTACTGATGACCATGGACGCAAGGAGACAGAGGAAGCACACAAACGGTGTATCTGACTAAAATCTAATAGGTGCCCTCTTTTTCTGGGGCAGACTTCAGTAGGTATTACCAAGAGAAGTGTTAGCACTCAGTATGACTAGAATCAATTCCGGGTCCTGGCTCTGATGAACTGTGGGAAACAAGGTCTCATTTGGTGAGGCCTGGGTTTGCACTGTATCAACAGAATAACCCTCAACTATAATAATTGCATATTTAACCGTTTTGCCTGGTAGCCAGAACTAGTTTCACCAGGTACTTGATTGAAGAGAAAAGGTTTTTCCTTACTTTCTATTCTAGCTTATGATTTAAAATCCCTGATCATTTTAATATCTCAGGCATTTTCTATTCTAGACCAGTAGGGCAGGAAACAAATACATTTATAACTCTCTTTATAGGAGGACCTCCATTTTTGCCAGAATCTTTTGACCGAATTCTTCTTGATGCTCCCTGCAGTGGACTAGGACAGAGACCAAACATGGCTTGTTCCTGGACTTTGAAGGAAGTGACATCATATCAACCATTACAACGAAAACTCTTCACTGTGGTATGTGTGAAAGTTAACTTTCACTAGTTTGATGTTTATAAGACTGAGAACAGTGTTTATAGCAGGATTATTCACAATAACCAAAATGTGGAAACAAGCCAAGTGTCCATCAGAGGATGAAAGAGTAAGCAAAATGAGGTGTGTACATGCAGTCAGAATGAAATTACAACACACACTACAACATGGATGAACTTTGAAAACATGCTAAGTGATGTAAGCCTGACACAAAAAGACAAATACTGTCTGATTCAATGTATGTGACATAATTAGAAGAGGCAAAGTCATGGAGATGAAAGCAGAAGGGGTTACCAGGGGCTGGAGGGACAAGGAGAATGGGGAGTTATTGTTTAATGGTTACAGAGATTGAGTTTAGAATGATGAAAAAGTTCTGGAGACAGATAATGGCTGTGGTTGCATGACAGTGTGAATGTATTTAATGTCACTAAATTGTACACTTAAAATGGTTAAAGTGATAAATTTGGTGATAAATATCTTATCACACAAAAAAGGACAATGACCTAGTTTAAATGTAAGGAGCTTCCATGTTGAAAACTTTCTTTTAACTTTTTTTCATTACAGGCAATTGTAGAATTTCTTCACTGAGACCTTTAATGAATTTTGAACATCCTGTTCTATCTTCAAAAAGTCATAGGTTCTTAATATATAGTTACTAATCTGTATAAAGAATTGGATATAAAATAAATTGCTCTTTTTTTATAGGGGTCCTGGATCATCTTAGTGTGTTAGAAGTAGGAAGTCTAATAGAGGGAAACACATTGATAAAAAGGGGAAGTAGCTGTCCAGTGTAGGATATAGAAGAACCATAAGAACTTTGCAAATGTAGCTAGTCTGTAGTATGATTCAGAGGAAGCCCAAATAGGACATTTGAGGATTTCTCTGCTTTGCAAAAATGATTCAGATTTCACAGAAAATAAGATTGCATTTGATCAAAGATGATTTTATTATTTCCTCTCAGCCCTCTAATTTTAAACACATAGGCTACAACAATAATGGGTACATTATTCAGTCTCTAAAGTTGTCCTTGAGCACATTTCTGTGGATCTCTCCTGGTGTCTCCTTTAATACACAAAGGTGGCACTGGCAGTAGATTATTCAACTTTTTCTTCCTCTGTACAGTTCCTGAAGAACACAGCCTGGCAGTGAGAACAACAAGCATCAAAAGAGCAGCTTTCCTTACTCCTGAAACCCACTTTGACTTGAGAGTAAAATTAGGATACCGTTTTAAGAAACTTGGTGTTTTGTTCTTTTTGGTCAGAGCAGGAAGAAAATGAAGGCTACTTAGGAGTAGTTGCATTGATTTCAATGAAAAGGTGACACTGTGTGAGAGAGAATTTAGAATATAGCTGGTATGCTATGTGGCATGGATAGAAATCAATTGGGGATGTGGACTTTGTAGAGTCAGATGCATCTTGATTGGAACTATGATTCCTCCACATAATGACTGAGTGACCATTTTCGTAGCTGAGAAATGGTCATAACGACTCTACTGAATAGGTTACTCCATTGGAGATCATAACCACACAGGCTAGGGTTATGGTTAAAAGTAAATTGAGAAAATCCATGCCAAATGTTAAAACAAAAACTGGCACATAGTAATAAAGCTTAAATTTTGATCAACATACTGTAGTTAAGAAAGCACTGGTATATTCTTTCCATATGTATATAGATATATACACACATACATATATTAAAGATTTTCATTTGAATTTTAAAAATAAAATCTGGGAATTTGAAAAGATAAACCTTAGTTTTATTTGGGACAAATTCAAACTGTGTTTTGTGTAACACCTTATTTTCATATTCATGTATTTACTGGACCTACTGTTGAGCACCTACCACATATGTACACTAATCTGGATGCTAACAACACAGTTGAGAAAAAACAAACAATCCCTGTCTTTCTTCTGGGGTGTCTGTTATAATTGGGGAGGAAAAGAAACATGAGTAAGTTATGTAGTTTGTTGCAAGGCAACAGTCCTACAGAGCAAACTAAAGGAAGAAAGAGGAATAGGTATGCTGGATTTGCAGTGTTTCACAAGGTCGTCAGGGAGGACATTGCTGGAAAGGTGACATTTAAGCAAAGATAAAATTGTGAACAAACAATGCAGAGAATTAGAAGAGCTTTCTTAGCTCATGCACAGATCCTGAGGTGGGAGTGTGCCGGGCGGGTTCCAGAAGAGCAGAGGCCAGTGTTGCTAAAAGCAGAGTGAGCACAGTGTAGGAGGTGAGGCCAGAAAGGCAGCAAGAGGCCTGCTTTGTGTAGGGGTTTGAAAGCCACTATAAGGGCCTGGGCTTTGACTCCCAAGTGATCATGGAGGGCAGGTAGGGTTTTGAGCTGAGAACTGCAACTTTTAACAGCACTGCTCTGTTGAGAACAGATGGTAGGAGGGCAAGGGAGGAAGCAGGTAGACCAAGGAGGAGACTAGTAATTCAGGCAAAAGATATGGACCAGAATGATAGTTGTAGAAGTAGCCAAGTTCTAGATATATTTTGAAGGTTGAGCAAACAGGATTTGCTCATGGATGGGGAATGTGAGAAAAAGAAAGGCATAAAAAAACCTACCATTTGGGGCTTGACCATTGGGAAGGATGGAAATATTTCTCCAGTAGGTTTCAGAGGGAAGATAGGAGTTTAGTTTGCACATGTCAGATTTGATAGTAGAAATATTGAAAAGGCAATTGAATATGAGAGTATGGAATTCAAGAACTGTAAATTTGTGTTTTCCACATCAAAAATGGTATCTAAAGTCGTGAAACTGAACGATGGTATTTGGGAAAGTCTTGATTTAAATGGACTATAATAGTTCCAAGACAATGAAATGTATCTGGTCTGGAACATTTAATTAGATATAAAATCCAGTCATACAGAACATCATTTTATTTATCCCAAACACTTGAAAGACACCACACAGAAATAAAATCCCTTGAAATATTTATTTGATCTCAGGTACGTATAATTTTATCACATTTTCTTTAGGCAGTTGAGCTGCTGAAGCCGGGGGCTGTGCTGGTTTATAGTACATGCACAGTCACACTGGCAGAAAATGAAGAGCAGGTTGCCTGGGCCCTCAGAACATTTCCTTGCCTTCAGCTTCATCCCCAGGTAAGAACCATTTGGTTTTCTCTGTATAATCTAATAAATCAGAGAAGATGAAACATGGTGATAAACACAACGTGTTATATGAAGAAATATGTCTGAAATAGTGCAAAAAGAGGAATGTTTCTCCAATTATATCCATTTTAGACTGGCCAGAGTTTTCATATCTGGAGTTTGTCCCTGTCTTCATTCCTTGCCATTGTGTTAAAATGCCAGAGAGCCATATTTGTATGTTTCTTTCACTTGTGACTCTTGTTCATGTTAATTGTTTCCAGAAAGTTGGGGGTACTTTTCACCTAGCAGTCCTAGATTTTTCTTATATGGAAAATGTTGAGCATTTTTTCTTAAGTCACACCAAAGCCCAAACAGGTGTTAGTAACGAGGATATCAAAAGACTAGCCAAGAGGAGAAGAAATGGCCCAAGATTACTGATGCTTTATGGTTTCTTATATAAAATATGTAAAATTTAAAAAGTTTTCTTGTACTTTATCTACCACTGTCTTTCTGTTATGGTTTTTATTAAGACTATACTTAGGACTAGATTTTTAACTCATGATGTTCAAGATTAATTTTAAATCTGAAATAATGCTCACATTCATTCAGGTACATTGGATGTCTAATTTCAGTACCTTTCTATACAGAATTCTAGTTAGGTAATACATAAAAGGCAATCTGGAGAGGTTTCTTGACTCAGAATTTAAGGCAATATATTTTAGACAAAAGGGAGACTATGGAATTCACTTTGTGTGTGTGTGTGTACATATACTCAATGTATATCTAAAACAGATGGATTTTTTTCCCCCATGGGTTAATAAGCAATAGGTTTCCAGACATAAATCTAAGAAAATAAACCTTTAACAATATAGATACTTGTCTGTGAAATGGTGACTTAAGATTATGGATCTTTTGAAGTACTGGTTTGCAAGTATCACTCAATTCCTAATGAATCTGTATTCCTGTGAACTAATGATATAGCCTTTATTATCTCTTCCTGATGGATTCGAGTACATTTAAAACAACAAAAAAGAGAACTTGTATCATCTAATTGTTATGGATCAGAAAGAGGCAACTTTAGAGGCCCAGAGTCAGATAAATAAAACTGAATTTTTATCCATTGCTGTTACTGGTAAAAATATTCCATTTATTGAGTGCCCACTGTATGCCAGGCATTATACCACCTTATTTAGGACTCAGTGAATATTTTATCTGTCTGTAGATGAGCAAAGAGTAGGTCACACAGCTTAAGTGTGGCAGAGTCGTGATTTGAATCCATGTGTTTCTAACTGTGAAGCTCAGGCCTTTTGAAATGTTATGGTATATGATAAGCATGTGGGGGCCATAAGAGCTGCTCCCTCATCAGATGACAATAGACTGTTTTGCCACTCAACTAGCCAGAAGAACAGCATGGGCATTCCATAAAATAAAAGGTATTTACTCATTGTTCTATTTTTGGAATTTGTGGTAGCTACAACTCAATTCTTTCTCTCAACTGACATTGTACACAGGCACACTTACTAATTATAGGATGTTCATCCATATTCATTCATTTTCTCCAAATAGGAACCACAGATTGGAGGAGCAGGAATGATGGGAGCTGGCCTCTCGCTTGAACAACTGAAACAGCTGCAGCGATTTGATCCATCTGTTGTGCCATTACTGGACACTGACATTGATTCTCTCAGAGATGCCGTAACAGGAGACATGATTTGGCTGGCAAATAAGGATTGTATAGGTTTTTTCATAGCAAAATTCATAAAAGGCAAATACACATAGGAGAAGGATCTTTAGAAGTGAAATTCCAAACATAGGTGTTTTTTTTCCTTAAACTGTTATCCAGCTAAGTGATTGATGTCATGATTGCTAAGGACACAGAAAACATTGCTAGCTTTTTCACCAGGGGTTAAGAGACTTGCTCAAGACTGCTTCATAAGGAAGTAGTTGGGAGTGATAGGAGATTATATTTTGTGTTTTTAAAATACTTTTTTGTGTATTGATTTAGCAGAGTATAGAGAAAAGGAGATGCCTACAGATGTCTGGAACATATTTTCATTTGGGGTCTTGTGTTTTAATTTGTAAAGAATGCAAGTCATATTTTAATGTTAAAATTGGTCAGTCTAACAGAAGGAATAAAATATTTGGTTATAAAAAAGGCTTTCTGTTCCTGAATTCATAAGTAGTAGTTCCTTAAGAATTCAGGGAATGGGAACGGTAACATTTTCCATGTGCCAGTAACTGAGCTGAGTATTTTACCTGCTTACCATTTGGTAAACTGCCTTTACTATGTTCGCCTTTTTTTCATCATTTTAAAGTAAAAACTATCATGAATATTTTCTTTACTCTGTAGATCAAAAATATGAAAGTACTGCATAATTTGGGTGCCTCTGATCATCTATTGGAACACATCATGTGAGTTATTGGAGATGTGACCTGTGGGGAAAAGTGGCTTCTCATTCCTGGGAACTGGCCTGGCACTTCCCACTAGGTTTTGGTGTTCTCATATTGAACATGTTTCACAGAGCACCATCAGAAAAAGCAACTGTGACCATGATAATAGGTAAGACAAAAAAAAGGCCACTTGGTAATTAAATCTGAAATCAGATAAAAATGTTATCACCCAAGCACACATCCCCCTATAGTGGCCAAAGTGACTTAAAAAAAAATTATGAACTTAAGTTTACTTCATCCTCCCTGCTTTCTAGATAAGCTATATTAAAATATGCACTACCCAGCTATAAGTCAAAGGCTATCTCATGTAGTTAAATACATGTTTTGTTAACGTTCATTCAACTCACCCAAAACCTCCTGAGCATGGGGTACATAAAGTGGACAATTGGAAAGAATTGCCTAATTTTTTTTTCCCCCTCATAGGTTTCTGTTACGAATTTATTGTATCCGTCAAGATTGCAAGGTCTCTTGGGTCAGTTAAGATCTTTTAGAAGGCCTTTTATTTGAAGAAGCCTTTCCTGAACACTCTTCTCTGAAGTGGTTAGACTCTATTTCTCTGTGCGCCTGGTAGCCTAGTGCCATACTGCTCTCATGGCACGTGCCACATTCTAGTTTATCAGGTAAGCCCCTAGTACCAACCATCAGACAGGAAAGCCCTGGAGGAAAGAACTCTGTCTTTTCCTGCTACTGCTTCAGAGCAGACCATCAGTATGTACTTACTGAATGACGGAAAAGGTACTCCAGCTTCTTGAGATCCAAAGTGGCTGACTCCTTTACATCCGTCCTTCTGTCTTATGTCCCGTAGATGTCATTTGACTAAAGGGAGAACACTGTTTCCCTGTGGTACTGCTAATTCTAGTGCTCAGAACACTTGCCCAAACTTTAAATGTGTTGTAAAAAATCCACAAAATCCCTTTCTTCTCATGCTTTCTGCAAAGCCTTATGGAACAAATATGGTAGAGAGGAGCTGAATAGCAACTATATAACCAACAATTAACAAAATATAAGCAATTCAGGCAAAACAGAAGAAAAATACGTGCATGTTGAAAACAGGATAAAGAATATTGTTAAATTTTTTCCTTTGATATAGACATTTTCAGTGGATTTCTTTCCTTGAAAGAATAAGGCAAATTGGGAAAAGAAAGCATTCAATCTTAAAAAGACACACATTTAAGAAAAAAAATACAATAAAAAGGAAAAAATCAGGGAAATGTGGAAGAAAATCAATATATTATCTTTTAACATAATCTAGTCTTTTAGATATTTCTGTGGAACAGAAAAAGCATTTTAATTCGACATCCTGTATCACATTATAGCTTAGAGTGAAGTACAAATAGTGAAAAATATAATTTAGCCAAAATTATACCACTGGTCCAGAACCATCTAGTTACCTGTTTTCTCTGTGTGATTCCTGATGTATTCAAAAGATGAGAGTATGTAAGACTAGCAGCATTACTCATTGAGCAAAGGGACAGGGTGAGGATTAATTTTGAAATCAAGGTAGATCTTTGTTTTTAAATTGAACAGTAAAATTCAAAATCTGAATCACGAATCAGAGTCAAGGTGGAAGGAAGTTAACTCTGCTGTGCTCTTCTCTTAGAAGATCCCTCACCTTCCATAAGCAATCATTTAGCCATTATGGAAGGATCACTAAAATAACATTAGAGATAGGCACTGCTTTTAAGGAAGATGCTCCACAGGTGGGAAATGGCATTGAATATTTAACATAATCTCAACTGTAACAATCAGCCCTAAAATAGCAATTAATACAACTAATAATAAGCAGTGCAGAAGCCAGCTCTTTGTTTTATATGAATGACTTCAAACTAGCTGACAGTGAATATTTACCAGGAATGCATAGCAGACCATGTTAAAAATGTGTCATTGTCCCAAAGTACAATGACTGAGACAGCCTACTTTTAGCAGCACCTTTTGTAACAGCAGTAGAGAAAAAGCATAGGAAAAATTAAAATGGTTTGACAAAACACCAGAACTACTTAAGCACATTTCCAGCATTTTCTAGGTTGACTACAAAAGTCATGATTCTACGAGTAGGTTAAGATGAAGCCTTTGCTGGGTGAAAAGACTAATTTTACATTCTAGAAGCCAGTAAAGCTCCCATTGTCCTTGGGACTATTTCATTTACACATATACACTGTTTACACATATGCCCACTATACACTTTCACATATAGGTGCTTTAGTGTCAAATCCTGCAATACAGTTTTTTGAGGAATATTCTGATTTGGACTAATGGGTGTTTCACAGTAAAGTGAGAAGCTAAGAATCCAGGTACAAAATTTTAAAAATGGAATCCATTTGCAGGACTGTTTGAAAGGGATTAGTGGCAGCAGCAAGACAGACCAAACACATCAAGAATTTAAATTTTCCAAAGTCATTAATTGGGATGGACTTTCATGTAGGAAAGGATGATGATCAGCAACATCTTAGTGTGATGAAAAGTTTATCAAATTAACGTTAACTGGAGTACAAGGTTTCCCATGATGTATTTTATATCAAAAATACAACTATTGTTTTTATATTCAATAAATTTATGTCACTAGTACAGAGCTAATTATCAAAGAGGTTGAGGGACATGTTTCATGTATTAGCTTATGAAACATAACTCATTTTTGAAACTGAATTTTCTTGGGGAGAGGGGAAATGAGTTTAAAAGCAAAACAAGAGATTAACTTATGTAACAAAATAATAATAATTACATAATGCAGCGATCTGAAGTTACGCAGTTATAGGTGGGCATTTTCCAGGGACAAACTAAAGTGCTAGGTATGAGCACACCTAATACTGTCTTACCTCTCCAGTCATAACTGGACAAAATTTTGCATTAGGAGACATGGAGAAGGTTTCAGCCTCAGAGTGACAAACATTTTATAAGCTGCGTACAGTGGTATCATTGAGGCTTGCACATAGAATCTTCTGGGTTCATGTAGGAAGATACTCCTAACATTCTGTTTACTTCAGGTCACCTCATTTTGCCCTGATTACTTCTGAAGAGCAGAAACTTTGGTTATAAGAAGCACTTTTAGGTTTTGACGAACACTGTTGGAGTTGGTGGTGGGGGTGAAAGGACGGTAAACTGGGGGATAAACAGGAACAACAGGCAAGGTTAGAAAAGGAAGTGGGAGAAGGTAGAAAAATTTATTTCCCCACGAAATAGATCTACAAGCGTGTAAACGTTTCATACTAAAACACTCGAACACACAACGATTGTACAGTTCCAGTGAAACACTCACAGTTAAAAATTGCCTGTATTTTTACTCTCTAGGAGCAAATACAAGGAGCCAGCAGATGAATGCTTTCCCAGTCGCCTTTGGCAGCAAGCTTCCTCACATTCCCTGACTGCTCAAGGGATCAGCAAAACAACACGTAGCACAATCAAATACAAAGCCAGGTGGGTGGAACTCTAGATCTCAGTCTAATTTCTTCATTCGTGTTCATTCAGATTCATCTCAGCCACTCTACACACAGACGCACATGCCTGCAGAGTTCCAGCTCGTATTCTCCAGTGCAGTGGCAAGACACTAGCTACTAAGAATGCGTCACGATCAGTGTGAACTGCATGGATTAGAACAACCGTGGAGTTCGGTTATATTTACTGTAATTTATGGTCAAAATTATAACTTACAAGGATGGTAAAACATTCAGAAACCAACCTGTTTCAAGTCAAGCAAACACACATATTTACAGTATGTACAAACTTCCTACTAGAATGGGGATGAGTGACTAGACAATGTTATTACAAATTTCCTGAATGTGGGCATTTCTAGTCCCTGTAATTCATAAAGCAAATCTGCTGACTTGGCATTAAGACTCTAAAATAGTGTGATCAAACTGATATATATATATATAATATATAATTATAAGAAGGTGTGTGCAGAAATAACATTTACAAACTGTCTATACAGTACACAGTACTAGTACATAGAAAATAGATTCTAACTTTATGATCCCCTTTGTGTAAGGCAAGACTGAATCTGTCCCCAAATTTAGTCAGCCAGAGGTACAAGCAAGAAACAGTGGTCCATGGTTGAGTGAGTATGCAGATCAGGTGCCTACATATTAAAAATCTGGAGAATCAACAAATTCCACTTTTTTTTTTATCTGGGCCAATTCTGGCTTGCTGGATACAGTAATTAAATTTTGAAAACGTAAGTATGTTCCTTAAAATACTAATGCCACCTGGATGGCAGATTTTGTTCAAATGGCAGCTATCCCAGACAAGCCCAGTATACAGCCAGAGGACTGCAGCCATACTAGGTGAATTTATATAGCACTTACAAAAGGAAAAAAGTATTATGAATACTCTTTTTCATGCTATTGCTATTCAAGCAACAGCAATACAAAATATACAAGACAGATCACATGTGACTGCAATGCAGACCCCAAAGATTTAGTTTGAGAGTGGTGGTATACAAGACTAAAAAAACAAAACAAAACACAAAAGGGCTAAAGTCATTGGCGGATATAGACATCCCTGTTCCACTCCCCAGCCTCATTCCGTTTTTTGGAGATCCCTTCATCCTTGTCACAGTAATGATCCTTGGATTTGTGCCGGCTCCGTGGCCTATTGCTTTCATTGTGGTCCTGCTCGCGATCCAGGTCCCGGGAACGGTGCCGAGACTCCCTGTGTCTGTGCTCACTGCTCCCATGGGGCTCATCTCTGTGGCTGTGGTCATGATGTGGGGTGTAGTGGTCATGGGGGGAATCTTCCTTTGGCTCCACATAGGCAGAGTCTCGACTCTCCTGGGTTTCTGAGTCAAAGGTCTCTTGCCTAGAGAGGACTCGATTTGTACCACTGCGATGGTTGTGGTGCTGCGCAGAGGAGGAGGAACGGTGCTGGGCTTTCCTGACTGGTTCCAGGCAGGGGTCTTCTTCAGCTCGGGAAGAGAAACGGGCAGGAGCAGAACGATCAGTCCTTTGAGCACTGTGAGAACCCTGGTGGTGAAGGGAGCCGAGCAAAAAGAATGAATGTGTCACAAAGGCAAGTCCATCCTTAGGAGCATTTAAAATGCTGAAATGAAATACAATCTAGTGCAGCTACTTACTCTTTTGATAACATCCAGTGGCATTTATACTAAGGTTTATACTTATTATATTGGACTCTAATTTCTAACTGCCTAGAAAAGTGCACAGAGTAACTTTTTTTTACTGAAGGAGGGAGGGCATTCTTTTATATGTTCTCTTGTGGTACAAAAACAAACCTTTGGGATTTTCAACACAGGTGTGTATATGTCACCACCTCCATTTGAATACCCTGTGGGGAGATTAAAAAGCCTTTCAATTTTGGCTTAAGGTATTAAAGGGGAAAAAAAGCACTGGTATTAATATAGTAACTCATTAATAACCACAACCCTATGAGAATAGGACATGGGACAATTATGCCAGCCACAGGAGATAGGCTGTGGTCTGTATTCCTAAGGCAGGGAGCAGATAAGGAACTCTCCAAAGTTTTATATACCTGGCAAGAGGTAGAGCTGGAATTTGAAACCACATGGTCTGATTTCAGTCTGTGGTGCTTAACAGGGATAGAAGGTGCATAGCAGGTTCTATCCCTGTTTTACAGAGCATGTAGTTGGGAGTTTTAACGTTTATATATGTTTGTAATACGTAATTGTTTCCTCTGCTTTTCTTACAAGTACAAAACTCAAGTGATTCAGCATGTGGCTCAGCTTGGAATAAGCAGTGCATGTCAGGGCTTGGATCCCAGTGATGTGACATGAGGTGGCCCAGTTTCTAGCCCAGAAAAAGGAGCCCTTACCTGTGAATTAGAGGCTTGAGTTGGGCTGACAGGTAGAGTTGAAGTGGCTAAGGTGCGGCTAAGGAGAGGGTTGGGGAGGGTGCTGCTGGGAGGATGGGTGGCCTTCCAATAGGCCTCCAGATAGTCAGCAAGGTGCTCACATGCATCCTCGAGCTGGTTCTCATCCAGGATCACATCAAACAGCTCCTGCAGAGGCAAGCATTGCACACTTGAACCAGCCCAGTACTGACTGTGTATCACATAAACACACACTCATAAAAGGAGGCTGACTGTCCTATTTAGTTAAATGTAAGAGTCTAGACCACTTGATATTTAACCAGTATCAATGACCAGAAAGTGAAGAAAGGTACAAGTTGCTAAGGACTTGGCAGAAAAGAGAGGTATATATAAAGAATCCAATCTGAGCAGTACAGCAAGGAGCCTGTATTTGACATGGTCCAAAACTTTAAAATAAGACTTCTTTTAGCTTCTGCTGTGCCTGTACTAAAAAACAAAACAAAACAAAATTTAGAAGTAATCTATAGGCCCAAAGCATGGTATGTAAATCAGGGGTTAAGAGTAGATTCTAATACCTGAATATAGTTCTAGGTCACTGATTATTTAGAAATTTGTTTTTACATGACCTCATATCAATTGCTCAGACAGATTTCAGAGCTGGCAACTTGCCTCCCTATGCTTAGAAGTAAATAATAAACCAACCCCAAATCTATTTTTCAAACCAAATATTTGAAACCACAGTCTCATTCCACTTAAACTGAGGTTACCACAGAGTTACTGTAGCTTTTGGTAGGCTATGGTCTTGATCTAGACACATACTAGGGCAGGAGGTGGGAAGAAATAACCACTGCTAGGTGTAGAGAATGATTCTCTACCCCAACAGCTGTTGACCTGTCTGGTTTTTGTTGGTTTTCTTAAAATACAATGCCAGGTCTGATGTCTTCAAGTGGATTATACTACAGAGATAGAAATGACTTACTGGAGGACACTGAGCCAGTTTATCAGCTGCTACCATTTGGACATTGAGGTGTTTTGCTTGAGATTTCCCTCGAGATTTTATTAACCTTTGTAAAACCTGTAAAAGATAAGATTTAACAGAAGAATTATCTGCAGATATAAAAAGGTTCATTAGCCACGCCTTTTTGGGGTCCCTTACAACTGGTTTATAGTAGATTGAGCTGTAAAATATATGTAAGATTATCTGTGAAATTAAATCTCAGTTGAAAGTTTTAAAAAAAGATAGCTAGCAGTTATCAAACTTTGTTTTTAAAAATTGAGTAACCCCAAAGAGCTTTTGCTTATCTGGACTATATCTGAGAAATTTAAACGTTTACAATAAAAATATTACATATTAGCATATATTATTTTAATTAAAAAATAGCTACATTGTTTGCATATTTCTGTAATCTCTGGGTTCGTAGAGGTATGTCTCCTATCTGCTTCTAAGTATAACTTGATACAGTGCAGTTTTCATTGAAATATGTGAAGAAAATCCAGCCTCCTATAGATAATTCAGAAAAGAATTTAGTAGCAGTTTTAGGTAATTGTTGATACTATCTTAAACTCAACAAGTGGTAGCTTTTAAACACTGTGTGTTAAGTGTTCACTGCCATGTGAAATCTGAAACTGTATCAACAAATGTTTCTCACTCTTAACATTAAAATCCATTGGTCTATTGTAAAGTTGGAACATCCTGACTTGAAGCATTATTAATCATTTGGAAATAATAGTTCATTGAGTTCTTCAGGTCTCTCAAATATTTGTATATTAAAACACCAGGTTTCCTGAGTTTTATTGTTTACAAATGCAATTAGTTATTTTGAAGACCTACCAAACCCAATTTTGAATGAGAATACCATGTCAGTTCTTTCAAATAAAAATATGGTGTTCTCTATAAAAAAGTGGTTTGTTTAGTTTACAACTTGAATCATCACACCAGTGCCTATGCTTAGAATAACTAATTTTGGTATGCAGCTGAAAAACTTTTAATGTATTACACAGAATACTAAAAAGACTTGTACTTAAAAGTAATTTATAAATTTACTATTTCATCAGGACATTCTTAGTGAAAGTGGGTTATGGCTTTTGTTTTAAAATACGAGTACATGGTGGTGGAGAATATAAATGCTAATAATGTCTAGTAGCAGTCTTGACTCATGCTTAGACACTAGCAATTTTAACCATCAGGGCAAATATCATAACAGTGAAAAATGTCTTAGTTTTATTATGGGAAGAGTTACAACCTTCTGTACTGTCTGCAAGCGTCTTGGAACCTCCATGGACCACACTTTGGTAATTGCTGTTTCAGGCATAAAACTAGTAACTAGGCTTTGCTTATATGAATCTTAAATTTTTTGACTACTGTTTCTCTTTAATTTGAGTAAAGTTTGATTATCCTACTTACCTTAGGAGAAGAAATCTTCACATATACTATAATAGGGGCCAAAGAGGTTTTACTAAGTTGAGCTGGATGATTAATAGTGTCTGCATCAAGGACTACCAGTTGCAACGTTCTGGCAAGTTCAAAAATCCTTTCGATTTCACTCTGAACTTCCGCTATAAAAGGTTAAGCAGAGTCTTATTACTTAAGGTAGAATATATATTTTTTTAGATCAAATTGAGATAAAATGAAATGGTACACTATTTCTTCAGAAGGAAGGCAGGTAGGTCAGTCACAAGATTAATGTTTACAGGTAATAAAGCTGGTAAAAGGTATCCTTTGGAAAGAGCTGTTTCTCCAGACACCTATAGAATTTAGAGAATTCCTCTTTCAACCAGCTGTAAGATTTACTTCCAGTACAACACTGTGTGTGAGAGGTGAAATTTTTTTTTTTAGATAATTATTTTTTATTGAAGGGTAGTTGACACACAGTATTACATTAGTTTCAGGTGTACAACACAGTGATTCAACATTTATATACATGATAATTCTAGGTACCAGCTATCACCATACCAAGTTGTTACAATATTTTGACTATATTCCTTATGCTATACATTACATCCCAGTTACTTATTTATTTTACAATTGGAAGTGTGTACTTTTTTTTTT